ACTTACTGCTTTCCTCCCGCCCTCCTCCATGTCTTGACTAGCAAACGCTATCTTTGAGAGAATGAAGCTGGGTTTTGTGTTCCAGACAGTCCTGCCAACACAAGGGCTGAGTTTTAGTCTTCTCACATATAATGCTAGTGTGTCTTTGGGTGTAGAAAAGGAATGACACTGTTATAGCTGTATCCCTGGTCAGTCTACTTAAAGGTAACAGGAAAAATCACATTTAATACTCCGCTGTAATGATTAAATGTCTTCTTTGTCCTGTGGCAAAATAGCAGAAGAGGGAAAAAAGAAATTTCAGCTCTTTCACTTGTTGGTGGGATATAAGATTGATTGATTCTTAACTATCTTACTGCCTTGGTTTCTTCAAGTGTAAAAGAAGGGAATTGGCCTCAACTCTGTGCTAATATAAAATTCCGTGATTTATTAAAATAAAGTAATCCTCAGTTTACCATCTGAAACATAACACATCTGCCAAGTCTAAAAAAGATTTCTGAGACAATTTGATTTTTTGGAGAACAGTTCCTTTAGAGCTCTTAAAACAATTAAGTGTTTGTAAAATTTGTCTGTAGATTATAGAAAGTATCAGTACTGACATTAGAAGAGGAAATAGAGCAAAACCATTGGCAAAGCATAGACCAGTTTGCATATTTTGTTAAAATTCTGTCATTTTGTAGCTGTGCACATACAGAAAGCTTTTTAACTCCCTGTGCCTTAGTTTCCTCCTCTAAGAAATAGGACTATAATAATAGTACCCACTTCAGAGATTTGTTAGGAGAATAAAACAAAGTGTGCCTTGTAGTACTTTAAACAATGCCTGGCTTATAGAAGTAAACCTTAGCTACTGTTATTACCTTTACTAGTGAATAATATGAATAGTTTGGAAACATTTAAGCAGAACAGCTGTACTATAAAAGGACCTGACACCATAATTGTGTAATATTTACTTTGAATAAGCGAAAAATAATTTGGAAAAAGAATTGCCATTGAAACATTGGTGACAGAAGGATGAGCCATTATCACAAATTCAGTTGCTGAGTGCACTTTAAACTTAAAAAAGTTATTTGTTTTTAAACACGTATTTCCTCTAAATAGACAAAAGTAGTAAGATCTTAATTGTGCATACGTATCTGCTTTAAAGACAGATTTTTGAAATGGGCTGTTACCACTTTTATTATACACTTTTTTTTTTAAAAACATTATTAATTTATCTGTTGTGATTTTCAAGTTGCTGGTTCTGAGATTTGATCTGCTGTTGTCCATGTGGGAATCCAGTGCTTTAACTACCATGCCATTTCTTGGCCTCAACACACACTAAGTTTTCTATACCTGAACTGTTGTTCAGAGCACACATTTGATTATTGATGGTATCATACGTTTCACCGTTTATAGTGTGTTTTTCAGAATTAATAATGTATAATTTAATTATTTTAACTCTTGTCCTCTTATTAATATGGTTGATCAGCATTGATTTGCACTTATGTTAATAGGACATGCTGATCATTTTTATAAGCTCTTTTTAAAAAATTACTATTTTTTAATTTAACTTTAATTTGACCAGAGAGAGAGTGAGTGAGAGACAGAGAGAGAGAAAGTGAAAAAGCAAGCCACCAGGTCTGGGACTCAAACCAGGGTCAGCCATACTAGGAGTCCATCACCCTTAACCACCACACTACCTGCCGGCCCATGCTGATAATTTTTAAACTGGTGGTCATTTTCAGGAAGAAGAGCTTTTATATATTCGAAATGCCAGGATAATTTGTGATACAAAGATTAGAGAAAAACGGATGCCCTTAAGGTATAGTTGGAGAGAATTTAAGGAGTATTAGAATTGTCTTACCAGCAAGTAATTGTGACTATATTTTATTTGAAATATCTCTCTTTTTGAGTTTCAGATAAAATGTTGTTATTGAGCACAGTGCATCTATAAAATTCCGTGATTTATTAAAATAAAGTAATCCTCAGTTTACCATCTGAAACATAACACATCTGCCAAGTCTAAAAAAGATTTCTGAGACAATTTGATTTTTTGGAGAACAGTTCCTTTAGAGCTCTTAAAACAATTAAGTGTTTGTAAAATTTGTCTGTAGATTATAGAAAGTATCAGTACTGACATTAGAAGAGGAAATAGAGCAAAACCATTGGCAAAGCATAGACCAGTTTGCATATTTTGTTAAAATTCTGTCATTTTGTAGCTGTGCACATACAGAAAGCTTTTTAACTCCCTGTGCCTTAGTTTCCTCCTCTAAGAAATAGGACTATAATAATAGTACCCACTTCAGAGATTTGTTAGGAGAATAAAACAAAGTGTGCCTTGTAGTACTTTAAACAATGCCTGGCTTATAGAAGTAAACCTTAGCTACTGTTATTACCTTTACTAGTGAATAATATGAATAGTTTGGAAACATTTAAGCAGAACAGCTGTACTATAAAAGGACCTGACACCATAATTGTGTAATATTTACTTTGAATAAGCGAAAAATAATTTGGAAAAAGAATTGCCATTGAAACATTGGTGACAGAAGGATGAGCCATTATCACAAATTCAGTTGCTGAGTGCACTTTAAACTTAAAAAAGTTATTTGTTTTTAAACACGTATTTCCTCTAAATAGACAAAAGTAGTAAGATCTTAATTGTGCATACGTATCTGCTTTAAAGACAGATTTTTGAAATGGGCTGTTACCACTTTTATTATACACTTTTTTTTTTAAAAACATTATTAATTTATCTGTTGTGATTTTCAAGTTGCTGGTTCTGAGATTTGATCTGCTGTTGTCCATGTGGGAATCCAGTGCTTTAACTACCATGCCATTTCTTGGCCTCAACACACACTAAGTTTTCTATACCTGAACTGTTGTTCAGAGCACACATTTGATTATTGATGGTATCATACGTTTCACCGTTTATAGTGTGTTTTTCAGAATTAATAATGTATAATTTAATTATTTTAACTCTTGTCCTCTTATTAATATGGTTGATCAGCATTGATTTGCACTTATGTTAATAGGACATGCTGATCATTTTTATAAGCTCTTTTTAAAAAATTACTATTTTTTAATTTAACTTTAATTTGACCAGAGAGAGAGTGAGTGAGAGACAGAGAGAGAGAAAGTGAAAAAGCAAGCCACCAGGTCTGGGACTCAAACCAGGGTCAGCCATACTAGGAGTCCATCACCCTTAACCACCACACTACCTGCCGGCCCATGCTGATAATTTTTAAACTGGTGGTCATTTTCAGGAAGAAGAGCTTTTATATATTCGAAATGCCAGGATAATTTGTGATACAAAGATTAGAGAAAAACGGATGCCCTTAAGGTATAGTTGGAGAGAATTTAAGGAGTATTAGAATTGTCTTACCAGCAAGTAATTGTGACTATATTTTATTTGAAATATCTCTCTTTTTGAGTTTCAGATAAAATGTTGTTATTGAGCACAGTGCATCAACGTTTAACAGCACCTGGTTTTTCTAACATTTCCTTAACAGTAAACCAGGGCTCTTTGGAGAAATGACTGATTCTATTGCACTGACCAAATCTGGGATAATTTGAGCATCAAAATAATTAAAAGCAATAATAAATTATAAAGCACTGAGAAGGGCCAGCCATAGCCTGGTGATTAAGGCAGCTGGATTCCACATGGCCCTCCACATAATTCAAGTCCTGCACTTGGCTGGTTGAAAAACACTCCATGCTCATGTATGTGCATGCCTGAAAAATACTCCATGTGCATGTGTGTGTGCGCACCCAAGATCCAAAAGAAGGGAGAAATGGAGAATGGTGCAGTATGATCATTCTTTATAGGGTGAAGGGTGCTTTCTCGCTGTCTCAATCAAGTGAGCACATGCACTGTCTGGCAAGTTAAAAACAAACTAAAAGTACTGGGGGGGGGGGGAAGGAATTCAGGGATCACACCAGTAATAAAGACATGGATACACACACAGGAAAAAAATACGACTCAAGGGAGCAATTGGTAAGTGCAGAGGTAGTAGAGTTGGAAAAAACCATGACTTATGTCACTGCCATAGTTAAAGTTGAAAGATTTACAAATGGATATTAGATTTAGGTTTTTTTTAGATTTTTGACATGGCTGATATTTACATGGTCTTAAAGTGTCTTTCTGCCCAAAGATTTCTCACTGGTTTCAAGGAAAAGGTAGTAAGTAAAAGGAAAAATTGGATAGCACCTTGTGTGGCTGATGAGATTTACACCACCACTGAGGGACAAGTAGATACCGTGTGCCTCTGATGTGATACCCCGAGACAGGCACTTCACTTAGGTACTGCTTGAATCATGTGGAAGTGGTGACCAGTTTTTAAGGACTATATTCTGCAAAACTTTTTATGTTTTAGTCAAAGAAATGCTGAAAGGAGACTGAAGACACAGAACATACCTGATCCCAAGACTGGATCCTGCACCTGAAGAAAAATTAAAAACCCCCTCTTTTTTTTTTAAAGGTTATTACCAAGAGTCACTTGACATTATAATGTATTAATAATGCAAATTGTGGGTTAAAATATTACATTGATATATTTGCTAAATTGTAACTGTATTGTTGTTAAGAGATTATTTGATTATTTTTTGGAAATTCACAATGAAGTACTTATGGGGCAAGGGTGTCCATAGTGGATACAGCTTGCTCTCAAATGACTTTTTTTTTTTTTTTTTTTAAAGCACACATGTGCATGCACACGAGTATGTATACCAATGCTGTTTGTGTGTGTTTGTCGACAGAGAGTGAGCTACTGGGACAAAATGCTAACAGATTCTGGGTAAAATTATGCAGGTGTTCTTTGTATTTTTCTTTCATTTTTTTCTTTTAAGTTTGAATATTTTCAAATAAGTTTGTGTATACACACAAACAGCATTGGGACTTATTTCTTTCATATCTCATCCTTTATAGCACTAGTTGCTAATTTATTTTCAATGCATCATTGGTCTTAAGATGTTAACATGCATTGCTAACCAGATACATATACTGATTTTTAATTTCTTTTAAATAGTGCTGGGCCTAAAGGAGATAATATATATGAGTGGAGATCGACTATACTTGGTCCACCAGGTTCTGTATATGAAGGTGGTGTGTTTTTTCTGGATATCACATTTTCATCAGATTATCCATTTAAGCCACCAAAGGTAAGAACCTAAAAGTGCATTTTGTAACTCTTCTCCTCCAAAGTCAGTTATTTAAAGAGCTTTAAAGTGTATTGATATGATAATTTTATTTCTTTTTTTTTGTGGATTAATGTGGAAACTCAAATAACCAAGAATTTTAAAAGTGAGAGTAATTGATTCCTACCTTTTATAAATAACTGTAATCAACAAAAAGAGGCTTTGGGAACCAGCAGTTAGCGTAATGGCTATGTCGCTGGACTCCCACGTAGTCGACCGCGGTTCGTGTCCTGGACCCGGTGGCTTAAAACTCACGCCGGGCGCGTGTGCGTGCGTGCCCAAGATCCCGAGAGGAGAATGGAGGAGAAGGGATTGCGGCGTGACCATCCCCCCTGGGGGGTGATTTCTCGCTTTCTGTCTCTATGTCTCTCTCTGTTTGTCTGGCGAGTGCACGTGCCCTACAGTGAAAATCTCTCAAAAAACAAAACAAAACAAAACAAAACAAAAACAAAAAGAGGCTTTAATCATTGATTATTAATTAAACTACACTGTGCATATCACTAAAGCAGATACATTTTGGAGTTACGATATGTGGAAAAATACCCTATGAACCAACCTTAAGAAATTCTGGGATAGGAACCAGCAGCTGGCATAGTGGTTATGCCACTGGGCTCCCATATGGCCAACTGCAGTTCCAGTCCTGGACCTGGTTGCTTCACATTTAGGCCAGGCATGTGTGCATGCATATCCAAGATCCCAGGAGGAGAAAGGGTGGCTATCCCCCACCCCCACCCCGAGGAGGGGACTTCTTGCTTTCTGTCTTTCTGGCTAGTGCATGTGTCTTATAGCAAAAATCTCTCTCCCAAAAGGGAAGAAATACCGGGATTTAAAAAAACAAACAAACAAACAAAAAAAACCCAAAAATAAAAAACACCTATTTGACATATTCCAGAAATATGAGCTCAATAACATGAATTTGTGGCCAACTACCTTATCTTTATAGATAAGTAGAAATTGAAAAACAGTAACCAAAAAGAGGGAAGCCAGTAATACTTAATAAACTCATTTTTATGATGTTGTAATGGAAACTGAGAGTGGCTGGGTAACTTCTGCATCTTTCTTGACTCTCAGTTCATTTGAAGTATGAATTAGACAGATAACGTAAAAGGGTTGAGTTGTGCCTTGTAATTAGTGGTACTTTGTGAAATTTGTAACAACTACGTGAGTGACTTCCTCCCTTAACTTCTTATTCTAAATGGTCAGGCCTACAGGTAAAAACTACCAGATTTAAGCTGAGCATATTTATGCCCTTATTCCAGCGATAATGAAATGCCAGGGGGGAAGGTGTTCTATGAAGTCTTTAGCCCTTTTTTCTGGTGAAATCTTTTTCTTTTTTATATAGTTCCTTATATTTTCTATAGTATTTCAAATTAATGTAGTGACTTAATGGCTGTGTATTTGTGTAAAAGTAAATTTTGGTTTAAAAAAGAAAAACAGGATAATTTCTTAGGAAAGCATTATTTATCAGGGTAACAACACTTCCACCTAGTGGTATTTACCTCAAATTGCAGATACCTGGATCTCTTCTCACCTGGAATTATTTACTCTCAATTTGAGCATTTTTTCAAGTACTGGAAAACTCAACAGTTTTTTGAGTGCTTTACTCTGCATTTCCATCAGAATCTAAGATTTGAAATTACCTTTTTAAAATGTTCCCAGATTTGTAGAGTCTGTCTTGCTGAGTCAACCTAAGAGGCAAAA